CTTTCTGTATTCCTGTCCAGGTGCCAATGACACAGGGTTCTCAAGGATTGCCGCAACAATCATATCAACAACCAATCATGCTACCTAATCAATCAGGTCAAGGAACACTTACAGCCACTGGAATGCCTGTCTACTGTAATGTCATACCTCCTGCCCCACAGAATAACCTACGGCTGATTGCCCCACACTGCCCCTCCAATAACGTTCCAGTTATTTCTGCCAGCTGCAGGACAAACTGTGCGAGTATCAACAATGCAGGGTGGCCGGTCAAGTACTGACACTGTGGTGTAGCATGGATACACGAGGATAGCGGTGCATTATTTGACAAAATAACTCATGGCCTTCAAACGAAGAGGAACACAACAGGATAATCAGTTGAGGACATAAGTACTGACTATGCTCAAGTGATTTGCTGCTGGAAAAATCTGTAAAAAAAAAAAAAAATAAAATTTTGAAAAAAAAATGTTTGCTGGTTAATGGTGCATATTTTTGTCATGTCTGCTAGGTATGCCTTTATAGCTTAGCTAGTGACATGAATTCATTGAGGTAAGATTTTTTCCTACCACTGAACACCACTGTGTAGATTGTAATATCCCCGATTCGGATTAGTTTTGTACTTTGTGTTGAGTTTGTGAAGCTAAAAGTATTTAAAAATATAATAAAATCACATTGTACCAAAGCTGTAATGGAAATGAGAAAAAAAAATGAAAACAAAAAAAAAGAATTACTGAATGGAAGGAATAATTTATATACACTATAGAGTTTTTTTATGGATATATACTGTATTGTAGTGCTTAATCACAATAAAGATATTTGACCTCATGGAGAAAGGTCATGTTTCTACCACCTGCTTGGTCTCCTCTCTGTTTCTGAGTGAGTGAAGTTCCCTTTGGTTCTGCAATGTCTTGTTTCAGGTGAAGCTAATGGGCAAATTATGCTTAATTAATGGGGAGACCTTACTGTAGCCTTTCAGAACCTGAAAGGGTCCTACAGGAAAGCTGGGGAGAGACTTTTTACAAGGGCAGATAGCGATAGGATGAAAGGGAATGGTTTTAAACTGGAAGAGGGTAGATTTAGACTACATATTAGGAAGCAATTCTTTACTGTGAGGGTGGTGAGACCCTGGCACAGGTTGCCCAGGAAAGCTGTGGATGCCCCCTCCCTGGAAGTGTTCAAGGCCAAGTTGGACAGGGATTTGGGCAACCTGGTCTGGTGGGAGGTGTCCCTGCACATGGCAGGGGGGGTTGGACTGGATGATCTTTAAGGTTCCTTCCAACCCAAATCATTCTGTGACTCTTAATGGGCTTATGGAAGCATAGCAACCACAGCAATTCTTCAGCTTCTACCCAATTACTGGTAGTCCAGCTATAAAGACATTTTACAAGAAAAAGACGACAAGCCAAGAATCTGGTCCATCATGTTCAAGTAGTGAGGATGACCAATATATCTGGGAGTTTGGCTCTTAAAACATGCAGCACACTGGTTTGCCAGAAAGTTTTAGAACTTTTTTTTTTTAAAAGTAGGATTTCTCATGTCCATGTTCACTCAGATTTCCGTCTTGTTCTGATAAATTATTCTTCATTCATAAATGCTGCATGGAGTTCTTCATTCTGCTTCAGTGATGACAACATTTGAGTCACAAGTGTGTTTACCAGAAAAAAAGCCTGTGTTGTTTTCACTTAAGCTGCATTTTTGATCAGTTTTGAACACCTTTAAAATAGGTAGAAGTTGAGCACTGCAGAATTGTGCATACACATCATGAATAAGCCTAAGATCCTTCTCAGGCTTTTGTAAAATTGATACGTGTCATAGTAAAATTTTAGGTACATGCAAGATGACAGCAGCTTACAAGGCCCTTGACCATTGATAATCTGGATGTGAAACAGCTTTTATTTTACCTTTAACATGAGTGGCCTTTACTTTACACACTTCAGCAGTGGAAGCAGGAACTGGAAGGGCTATAACCCATATTTAAAACAAACATTTTTTTCATTTCTATACAATGAACAGATACCTTTCAGAGTTCAGTCTTTTTTTACATACTTGTCTTAAAGTGTGGAATCCAGTCCTATGGGATCATAAGAAAGCCAAACACTGAATTTTATGTAGTATAATCATGATTCATTTGCTGAGAGACAGACAAGAACATGAGCAGGTAAGCAAACACAATTCACTCTTCAATTAGAGGTGAAATGCCTTGGGAGGGCCTAGTGATTGATTTCTTTTTTTCTTCCATTTTTTTAAATCAAGATCCTGCATTTGAATTTTGCCTGTGACCCTGAGCTCTCATTTCAGTTGCCCTGCATAGTACGGCTTATTTCCTTTTAAAGTTTTCTATACTATGGAGGTTTCTCTCCTAGCATTACTATATTCACACATAATTGGGTCTGCTGCTGCTGGGTGACTGACAGCTGAAGGAATGGGGTGTCCTTCACCATGTCAAGGCTCCAGAGTGCAGTGGGACAAACCTGCAGGTCACCTTGGGCAGGACAGGTTGTGGGTGGCCAGGATGAACGAGAGGGGAGGGAAGGTGAACCTCTGTGCATGTGGAGTCTGTAATGAAGAGACCCTTTGGTAATCACTTTATTTAAGTCCTGTTTCTTCTCTGAAGCACTGCTGTTACTGATCTTCCTCCTCATCAGAGAACCATGAAGGAATTGCCTGTTAAAAAAAATCTACACTCAGCATCATAGATTGACAGCAAGCTAGGCTGTAGATGCTCTTAGTGATGGGCAAGGGAGTCAAAAAGCAAAGCCTAGAAAACTTGCTCCTGTGAAAAGAGAATTTTCTCATGTCCTTATGCCACTCTCAGTCACATCCCCTTGGCAAACCGTGCATCTGACTGACTGTGGCCAGAAGTTCCCCTGATTTCCCTGTCTCTGCCTGTTCAATGAGCAGCTTCTGTAAAACAAGTACATAGCTGGGGGAGCAGGGATCATACTGATTGACGTCTTGTGGCAGCAGCACCTACCTGCCCCCTTCTGCTGAAATAAGACTTCAACTTTTTATGTAAAATCGAGCAGTTTCAGGAGGGGGTCACAGCGACCCACCCCAAAATGGCCTACATCCTCCAATTATCTCACTCTCCAAAGACATTGAATCTCGTTAGGCATATGAGGAAACTGAATTTGATCTCCCTCAGCTATGGAGAATGCCCTAATTATTAAGGTATCATATACATGGGGGAGACGTCTCACATGGTGGTGCACATACTTGCTTTATGCTGGAAGAATTTATATTTGAAGACAAGTAATTCTGTTTCTGGAAAAAGTGTACCACAAAAATTATTCCCCAAGCCATTCCCAAGGCTGTTGAGCTGCAGCATGTGTTCCCCCTTTGGAATAACTGGGGAGTTTCTTCCCTCAGAACTCAGTGGGGAGGCTCTGGTGGAGGGCAATGCCCAGCCAGGACTGGGAGCTTTGCTGTCTCCCAGGGCTCCTCTCCTGACTGGCGAGGAAAAGAGGGGGGACAGGTCTCCTTAGTCTTCAAACTAAGACTAGTCTTCATGCTTAGCCCAGAGACTATGCTTTAGAGATGCTCAGAGCTTCAACACCTGCTTGGCTGATGTTTTCTAAAACCGCATTTCTTGTGTAGGGCATCACCATCTATCTAGTCTCAGGCAGTGGCCAGCTTAGGGCAAACGTAGAGCCAAGCTCTGGCCAGTGCTTTGACAGCAATCCTACAAACCTCAAGGGCTACTCAAAGCTGCGTGGCAGGCAATAGAAATGCCACGAGTGTTTTGGAGGGGAGGAAACCTCGCTACACACATCACCTGTGCCTACCATAGTAGAGGTGGTACAGCAGTTTTGGGGATGCCTGCTCCCAAAACAGGGCACAGGATTCACATTTCTAATTGAATTTCTACCTCTGGTTTGCTGTAAGAATTTACTTTCTTCTCTGCTGTTTCCTTTTATTCTTCAGAAAAGTGGATATAATGAGCCTTTGAGGCAGTGGACTGATGGTTAAATAATTAATGCCACGCTGCTTCTGAGTATGGTTGGCCCAGCATTCATTCATTGAGTGGCATGAACTATTGTTGTACTGCAGAGCTCAGCGTTGGGTGGAATAATTCTAAAAATACTGCTTCCCAGTGCATGTCAGTGAGGCAAATCAAACCTCAGTTTTTTGGCTCTTTTTTACAATATTCCCACCAACTGTGGGAGAGGATGCTTCATTATCTCTCCTGATATAAGGACAAGGGGACATAGGACAAAAAAAAAATAATTATAATTAAAGCAGCAGTCTTCAAAGAAAACTAAAGAGCTCTTTTTTCTCCAGAGAATATATGGACAACCTGTGGCATTCCTTTCTGCAGGACGTTAGATGTGGTTTCAGAAATGGGCAAGGTCAGAGAAGAAAGTTGTACTGAATGCCACTAAATACAGCCAGTGTCTAGTTCACAAAGGCAGAGAAAAGAAATATGCCACTGCCTCATTCTTAAACCTTTCCCCATGCACTATTAGAGATGAGTATTGGACTGGGAATGAACCTCTGACCCAGTTGAATATGGCACTTCTAGAAAGCAATATTTGTTACCCAATACTTAATAACCAAATAAAGAAAAAAATCATATCACCTGACAAAGCCCATCCTGTAACAGAACCTGTAAGGATCAGAAGGAGAAAGTGAGGCTGACCTTGAGTTAATTTTCTTTAGTTTGATTACTGTCAAATGCCCCGACTGCACAGTCAGCACAATTGGCCTTGCACAGCTGCTTATTCTGCTCTTGAGAGTAACACCATGGTGAGGATGAAATAAACCTTCCAGCAGGTAGTGCCTTTGAACTTTTCATCATCTTTCATTTCTTCTTCGTGGCATGTAATTGTTCATTATTATTGAAAAGGTTAATTATGCATAAACAATGCTTTTCTGCTAAGAGTAGTTTGCTTTAGTGGATAATAATTGAATTTTTTTTCCCAGGTGGGTTTTGGTATACAATCAGTTATTTCATGTCAAAAGTACTGGCTTTTCTGAGCATTGGATGTAGTTGCTACTAAGAGTGGTTTTTAAAGTATTTTGGCATTGATTTAAAAGAAGTTGATATAGCAACTACAGGAATAAACTGCAAAAGAACACCTGAGATTAGCTTTCAAGCTGAAGAATAACAGGTGTTCTGGGTTCTTCCCTGGTTTTCATTTGGAGAGATCAGCTGCAAACCTATACATGCTTAATAAAGCACAACATCTCAGTTCATCCTTGTGCTTCAAATGAATTATTTTAGAGGCAGCACATACAGAAAAGTAAGTTAAAAAAAAACTTTGCCTTTTCTGTTGTGGGCCCAATTTTACAAAAGACATTTGTAAAAAGGAAACGTAAAAAGAAGATAATTTTATAGCAAAAAATATACGCTCCCCAGTACAGAAATTATCTCAGTTGAACTCTACTAAATATATCCCTAGAGGAATATCTTGAAAAGTTCCCCTCAATCTGTGCTGTGTATCTTGAGATACAAAGCAGACATTGCAGTTCCCAACAATGTGGGGTTTTTTTAACCCTAAGGATGAATCACATGGGTGTGAATTGAGGCACTTGCCATAGTCAGGTTTTGCTTGCAAATCTACACCTGACCATCCCTTCCACCATAAAAAATTGCTTTTATCTGCATGGAAAACAGATGTACATTAAATCCTTTCATATATTTTTTTTCCGATGGTGCCCAATGGGCCACTGAGTGTGATAGGAAGACCAGGTCAACTGACAGTAGACAGAACTGGACATTTTATACTTAGCTCCCATTAACTTTGATCACACCATGATCAAATCTTATGCCAGGTGGAGTTTGTGGGGGAAAAGGGCTTCCATGCATGTGTGTGTATGTAATTGTTTGGGTTTTTTCTAAATCC